AAAAAAAAAAAACAAATAATGCAAGTCTGCACTTTTTTTCTGACAACACTTTTTTCATGTCGTATAATTGTGCATTTTGAATTATAAGCGCAAGAGATTGACAATATTTGCAAAATTCACTCTGGTTTTTGTTCACATGGTAAGTTCTGTTAACGTAAATTTTATACAAAATTTTATACAGTTGCTATTACATGAGAAATGAAATTTCTATGAAAACTTTTAACGCTACGGTAGATATTAAAGTTACTGTTGACCTCCAATTGAAGAATGCTGACTGGCATCAGATAAGTCCGTTAAAACTGAAATGTTTCTAGGTATCATCTGTTGGAAAAAGTACCAAATAAATAACTATAAGGTTAACAAACCTAATATAGCAAATAGAGAAAAAAAAACTATGAATGAATGAAAAGCTATAAACTGTGTTACCACGCGAACAAATATTTTCCTTCATATCGATAAAATCCATTTCCCTTTCTCAAAATTAATATCAAAAATTTCCTTTCATATGAAATCACCAGACACAGAATACCAATCTCCTGATCCATAAAATGTCCTATATTGGTTAGTCCGTAATCCATAGTAATACACTCCAGTAGCTCCAGCGACTGCTAGTGATTTGTTGCTTTCCGTACGGATAAACAAACACCTTTTTCTGATGTTCTATCTGATCTTAGTTTCTAATGTAACTCATACTTATTCATAACCAAGTTTCTTGTATCAATAATAGTGTGTACTATTCCAATAAGATATTCAATTTTTCAGCAATTTATCTTTGTCTGTAACTTCTTTTTTCTTTTTTTTTGGCAGAAAATTTATTTTATGATGGCAAAACAGACAATCATCATTTATGCCATCGCCTAAAGACCATTTTAAAAATTCACTACAGAGATCTCAAAAGCAACTTATTACTGCTATGACCAACTCCTGGTTAACGCTTTGAAAATGTAATAACAATTTGACGAGTTGAGATGAACAAAAAAAACTGTTGCAGTTCTTCACGTTTATAGAGAAAAAGCATCAGCGTAAGAATAAGAAGTTCAAAAAAATGAAAAATTTTGAGAATTCTCACTGCTCCAGTTGTCAGGAATTCAAAAAGTCATAGTACTTTGTAAAACCTTAGCTAATAAAAAATTACCTACGTTCCACAATACTCACCACATAAATTAGGGATATTTTTTGAGGGAACTAGAAAATGATCCTCTCACACCATCAACCTTAGCTCCTCCAGTAACCTTACTTCACAGTCCTCTCAATAAAGTCCATTACTTGTCAATCCTATGAGAAAAACACATTTTTTCAAACTAATTTGCATCAAAACAAGAAGAGACTAAGCTACTCCAATCTCGCAACACTGTCCTGAACCACATCAGACAGCCGGCTTATATCATTCGCTCTAGAAAATCCATCACGATTTATTTATATCCAGAAACATTCCACATACTTCCATCCGACCCACAAA